TGACCATTCTTCAGTGGTGAAAGCTATTGCTGGAGATAACCACAGCCTAGGGAAACCAAGAGACCCGTGCTCACAAAAATGTGCAGAACGCCAGCAGATCCTCAGTGGCATTCAGTCTGTAATCCTCACAAGGTAATGAGATTTACAGAAGCTAAATCCTAAGATTTTTTTATTACACTGTGAAAGCATGTTCAATTTTAATATTTGTCAACATGTGTGAATTCAGCTTATCATTTATTTATAGCACGGTTGATGCAAATTTCAACCTACATTTGTGTAGAATATACATAACTAACAAGTCAGAAACAATGTTTATCTCCCAAAAGTTATCTTTGAGACCTACTTCACTCCTTCCGAGAACATTAAAAGAATTAAACCTTCATAGTCATACAAACTAAAAGTTATTGAAATCTCAAGCTCCAGACCTGCAAATTCCTGGTAGCATTTTACCTCCTACATACAGCACATGACAATTGTCTAAGCTCATTATGAATTCTTTCTGCACCTGAATTAACAGAATTATTACCTGAATTTTTTTCTTTTTTTTTTTTTTCCTCTGTATTACCAGGGTCTAGACCCAGCCATTAGGAGACAGCAGATGTGATATACCTAAGGTGAACTGTGAGCTGACAGTTCTTCACTTAGTTAGTCCTTTCATCAGAAAGTATTTATCTCAGTGGTGAGATTTTAAAATGACAATCAAAATATAGTCAGAATTAGCAAATATTAGATTTCCAATTTATTGGAAGTCTATTACTAATGTTTGTCCATTCTTTAAAGAAAGATGTTTATTTTGTATGAAGATATATATCCCTGGTGAATTCAGACTTGAGAAAAACTATATGGAATGAGAGGCTGCTCTTTGCCCTTAAATATGAAAGAAATTACCTTATACTGTGGTTTTAGTATTTGTTATATAGTAGTATTTACCTACTGTATACTATTAAATAAGTTTTATGACACCTCTGTCAGGTAGATGTCTTTAAAAAGGAAAGAGAAGAGATATACAATGTTTTGGGAAAAAAAACCCTCTAATCCATAATCCTGATGCAATTTCCCCAGGTCTTCCTGGGAAGAATCCTGCAGTGAAATCCCAGACCTCATGTTAAATTAGGGCAGAAAATACTCTTTGCTCATAAAACATGCTTAACATCACACAAAACTCCAATCAATGTGCTACTACATGGATTAGCAGTATCTTAAACACTGAAAAGAAATGCATGTGAAAATACCCACTCTGTAAATAAGTTCAAGCATAAAAGCCATGAGCATATATTCAGGCTAATCTATAACATTTGATCAGTCTCAGATATTAAACTGCAAAATACGTAACGCTGCAAGAAAATAAAACTTACTGGCAAATCAGCCCAGAATACTAGTGAGAAGAACAGAGCCCCAAGGGAGGGGGACATCTCATAAGGAAAATACCATGACAAAGTCCACAAAACAAGTTTAAATATATCTTAATGCCAAGCCACAGTGCAAAACCAATCCATTTATTTTCTACTAATGACAAGGTCAGATACAAGTCTGTGACTGCAATCTGCAGGGAACCTAACATTGCACAGCAGCGACTGTTCACCAGACAGAGCAGCGATGATGCAGCGGGGCAGGAAGGGCATGAGAAGGGCAACTCTCCCGCTCACTCTGCTGTCCCTCCCGGCAGATTCGTGTCTGGTTGAAATTTCATGCCAAAAGAGCTTTACAGCGCTGCTCAGAGAGGGAGAACAAGATTTAAAAGGACATAAAGGAGGCAGGGAGCTATAGATGTTTTAAGAGAAAGCCAGCAAGGTAGGCTTGAGAGATACAGGAGGATAAAACCATTCTGCAAAAGAAAAGATGGGCTGTTCAAAAGGGAAGAATGAACTGGCAGTGATGAGCACTGAATATCATGAACAGATGAAGGCAAAGTGCAACTACTTTAGGATTTTATTTTTAGTCATATTGTTAAAGCAAATAGGCTTTCAAAGCAGAGTACTTCATGGCTAGCATGTTCATCTGCCTTTAATCAGGATGTATAAAGACTACATCACCATCATAAAGGAAACTTTAAATGTTGCTGTAAAATCTTTACTGAAGAAGAAAAGTTCAAACAGCAAATTATAGGTCTTGAGCCAAACTTTCCAAAGTTTGGAGCACCAGTACTTCTGAATGTTTCTCATTAGAAGTGTTTCTAAGAGCACTTAGAGGAAAGGGTTCTTTTTTTTTTTTTTTTAAATATCAATTATGCCAAAGATAGTAAGAATTAATGCATGCAAGTTGTAATGGATTCCCAAACCCAGAAACATCTCTCTTCTATCAGAAAACATTCATGAAATTTGACAAAATTAATGTAAAGTCAGTCTGCTGGCACTTATGAACCAGTCACTTCAAATTCCCCATTTCTAGCCATATTAGATCTCACACATATAGTCCTTCCATCATGAATGACTTGACCAGTTAAAATTCAGAGATGGCAAGCAGAAACAAGGCTACTTATTGAAGCAGAAGGAGCAGATACTCCACGAAACTGCCTGGCCTTCTGTTGGGCAGAGATCTAAATCCAGTGCAGAGACACCAAGAAGAATCCAAGTGACTTTAAATTCTGGAAAGGTACATTTTCTACAGAGCATTTCTTTGCTTCTGTTGAAACATATGAAATATTAATGTCAATTCATTACACATCAATGCATTTGTATACTCCCCTGTTATCAAGTATCTAAATGAAAACAGTCTGTTCTGAATAATTTACTCCTGAATCATCAGCCAGCTTTCTTCTGCAAATCCAAGAGATCTTGAGTATTCGCCAAATCACATCTGTGACCGACAACCTTTTAGAAAAGATGTTCTCTCTGTTAAGTTTCAGAAAGGTACCAGCATATGTATTTGATGTGCTACAAATTTTGATATTTAGAACAGATATAAATGTTTTAACGATCAAGTAAAAGTACATATAAAAGCTATAAAACATGGTGGTTTTCAGTTTGTGGGCTGGATCCAGCGTGCAAGAACAACTCGTTCAACCTCCAACAGTACAGTCTCTGTGACCATCTTTCTAGGAGGTCCCCAAACGCATGTGGGAAGAGGCCAAGGGCTGGATGAACTGTTCTGACAATCCACTTGCTGCTGTTTCAGTCCCGGGGTTCTCCCAACTCCCTTGCCCCAGCCCATCACGTGAGCATGCTGCGGACTGCCTCAGCCAAAAGCTTTGCAGCAGAAAAGCTATTTAAACCAAAGCTAAAGGCTACATGAAACCACAGCACCTTAAAATAAATGCCAATTTTGACTGAAGTCGTGTCAATCCCAATTACTCCGTGATTATTTCTGTAAGCACCAGTCAAATACCCTTATTCACACCGACAGTCAGACTTGCTGACAGCCCACTATTGCACTGTCCTCAGCAAAGGAGACAAGTTATGTCTGATGGCAGTTCAAAAAATACATTCATGCAACCACTTCCCTTTGAAATACAAAGCTGCATTGCTAAAATAATTCATTCTGGTTTTGTTATGGGGCTCTTTGGTAAGAGAAATTACAGTGTCTCAGAAATGTATATTCTTCATGTTCACATCCCCTTTCTCTGCGCTGTGTGGAAGAAATACAAATGTACTTGCTGATTGATGTTACTGTAATAATCCATTACCAGGGAAAAAACAATTTCAAAACAAAAGTCACTAACTACATAATTCCCTTATAAAATACAACAGTGATTCTGAGTATTTTCTCATTTGCTCACTAATGTAGTCACTGCAGACTTTTTTTTTCAATTAAAACTTTTTACATTTGTTACTAATGGATTATAATTATTTCCAATTAATTAATTCAGTTCCAAACTCCACTTTTTTGATGCCAGGAAAACCCTACACACACACACACACACACACACTCTCCCCCCTTTATTGTATTGGTCACTGCAGAGATACACAAGTGGAAGCTAGAGCTTCAACATTTAGGATAAACTTTCAAAGACCAAGAGGGAAAAGTGGACTAACAGAATAACTTTAATATATGCTGTCTCAGTAGGATCCCAATTTACTTGTACTTTCATTCTGGCCTTGGTATAGCCACACAGTTTCAGTTAAATCATTCGGTCTGCATGGGAATACTCCAGGTGCGTGTGTGTGGGGGGGGGGTACATAATTTCTTTTTTTAGCTATATGTAATCCAGGTACTCTTTGCTATAAAACACTAAAATATTACAAAATCCAAAGAAACATACTAAATGTTAACTATTGACAACGACCTCCCCAAATTAGCTAACAGTATGATCTGCAATAGCTACTGCTAAGAAATGAGGTTTTAAGATTCACTAACACACTGTAGAGGAAAAAGATACCACACTGAAACATATTTCCTGTCAGGAAAAGACAGTAAAATTGAGGATGGGAAGCTGTGCCTCTAGTTGTACATTCATATGAATTATAAAGATTAAAAAAAAAAAAAATACAGTGTTCAGCACTGATAGAGCTATATGTCTCTTTCAGGCGGGTAAGACGAGATTGCATAATGTGACTGGTAATAAAGATGTACGTGTAATGTAAAAATAGGTGTTGTGCAAAATAAAGAAGAGTCTTTCCCCTCATTTGTCCTAAAATGCAAGGGATGCTTGACCATCATAATTTGCGAACTTTATTCTTTTTCAGCTTCTACTTTGCAGATATTATGTAATTTTAGTATTTGATTAGAAAAAAAAAAAAGACAAATCAGCTTCACAGTGCATGGAAGACAAATATAATTTTAATATAATTGCTAGTATGGCTGGTTTTATGTTTGTTTTCTGCTTCCTCAGATTTTCCAAGCTTAAAGAGTATGTGAACATACAGAAAAAAAACCAAAATTGCATTCACCACCCAGAATGTATCTTTGTATCCAAAGATGGATCACAAGTTCAAGTACATTAGAGGCCTGGCGATGAAAAATAGACTGACTTGATTTGGATGCAGTGAACTCAGCAACAGGTAAAATGTCTCAGCACATACATTGCTAAACCAGGTTTACACATTTTGCAAAAGAAAGCTTACCTGCCCATTTTTTCCCAGTTCCATTTCAACTATTGCAACAGGAGTGTTTATCTGATCAACGTGTCTTGACTGTGACTTCAGATCCACTCGCCAGTTCATGTTTTTCAAGACATTATCCCAACGGCTTTGATTGATCAGGCTCTCGTGGATCTTTATTCGGTGGTTCTTCCAAAATTTTGCAATGACTGCAGCTTGATCTGATGTGATGCCACCTTGTTTTTTGGTTTGGGCGGTGAGAAAAGCCTCCAGCTGATTCAAATCCATGTCTGCTGAAGCAATTGACTGTAGGGAAAATAGGAGGAGTAAAAGGGAAAAGCTTGCTCAAAAATGCTCTTTAACCATCTACCAAGAGGTCACATCTTTAGGGTTTTACAAATATCTGATTTTAAAGGAATAGTGCAAACAAATCCGGGTTATGGAAGCAACCTTACAGCTTTCATTAAAATTCAATTTGCAAGTGCTTACCACTTATCCCAGATTCTTGTCCCCGGACAGCAGAGGGTAATGGATCGGTAACAGTGATGAGGACACTGGGAGCGCCTTTGGGAATGCAGTACTGGATAACAAGGAGGCTTCTCTGCCTCCTTGGCAGGTCTGCCTGACCCTCTCCCCCACTATGCCCCAGGAATACCCAACTGGTCACTGCAGGGAACACCGGGTCAGGGGACTGTTCTGATGGTCGATTACACAGGAAAGCTGGGACAAATACCTGCCCCTGGCCAAGGCTGAAACAAATGACGAGACATTCCGCCTTGCTGCAACATCCACAGCTTCATCTGCCACCTCCACACCGCAGACAAGGAAGCAAAACTGGTAAACGCTGCAGCAGTAAAGCAGGGTCTGCAGCACTGGCCGCAGCAGCATGCTGGCTGCAGCAGCAAAAGCACGAGTCGCCCAAGGGAGAATCCGTGTGTGTGAGGCAATCCTTAAAAATGCAACTGCAGCTTCTTCCGAAGCACTGGTGAACTCTGTCAGGCTAAACGCTGTATTTGTGTTTTGCAAGGGAGAGTAAGGGGACACTCACTCCTCCTCCCTGTGCAGCAACAGAAATTATACTTTCCAACCCCCCTTTTTTATGAGATAGCCCATTTTCCCACCTATTTTTCCAAAGCCGATAATCTACAGCCTTAAATTTGCATTGTCTAACTGGCAATGGTTGCTAAATATGGCCATGAAGGGAGGAGGAGGACAGGAGGTAGAGAGAGGAAACCGTGGCTAAGCTTCTCCATCATAGATTCAAGCAGACACTTTTGCTTCATTCTCACCCCAAAATGGATGCAGCTTATCCTAAACAAACATGCCAGCTCCAAGCACACACCACTACGGAGCACAGCAAAGTGAAGCACAGCTGACACTGCAATCCTTGGGATTTGCCTCAATTTAATTTTCCTTGACATGGTATTCCTACTGCTGTACTCCATACGTTCAGGGAAATAAGGTTCTCACTCTTGTTAGCCAAGGGGGTGACACCATGTGGCTTTTGGCTGGATGCACACTGTGTGCATCACGCTGCTTATCTGCAAAGCTGGGTATTGCTTATCTAAAAGCCAAGGGGTTAGAACTCCATGAGCTTGACAAGGATGCAAGACTGGCTGTTTCTTTCCAATTCATCAGCAATGAGCTAAAATATTGTCAGTGGGGTGAGCTACCAGCAGGTTTTGCTGCCTTCCTCTAGACCAGACAGATGTCAAAGCATGCGACACCAGTCACATCAGGAGTGGCCTGAAATAAAACTGCAGGTTAAAAAAAAAAACAAAAAAAAAAAAAACAAACCACCACCACCACAAGAACTAGCACAAAATGAAGAGCTCACCCATCACACAAGTGACAGAGAACAGCAGCAGGTTGGCTGCTCTGAAGTGAGTAAAGCCAACACCACGACCTGCTCAGCCTTCAGCAGATACACCATCACATCCTCCTTATCTTGAGGGTTTTTTCTGAGAAAAAGGCAAACCTGAAACACACCCCCCCCCCCCCAAAAGTCCAACAAACAACTTGTGATCTACATCCATTAGCTGCCTTTTATCATCCAGTGTCTGAGAGATTTCTCCTGAAGCTTTTGTAGTATTTTCTTTAAGAGGGATGTGCTGCCTTCCCTTGCTCTCACGATAGATTAGCTGCCGTCTGTTACAAGATCGAGAACAGAAATGGCAATCCACTCCAGAAGTAACTGCTCGGCTCTATCGGGATTCCAGCTTAATAGGAGCATCTGCCAATTTATTATAAAATTTGAGACGCCTAGTGCACCGCTCTGTCTTTTCTATAGGGCACTCACCATATCTGTATATATTGTTAGCTTTTATCATGAAGATATTTAACTTGAGGTAATTACCTGTAATACCTAATTATGCTGTAAGTGAAAAAAAAACACTTTTCATTTTCAAAGGAAAGCTATTTAGACTTACAGTCCTTTCCTAAATCCATGTCTTACATGAACAGGACTGTCTATTAGCAGCAGTGTGGAATATTTTCTGTTTTAGTGTTTTTCATATCACTACATCTGTGTGGGGATGTGTTTGCATGTTGTGTGACACCAGCCACCACATCACACCTTTTGTGTTGGTTTATGTGAATGGGGGGAGGAATGGAGGTGACGCAACAGCCCCTGGCCCCAGCACCTTATGTAAGCCCTTTCAAGACCAAGATCAAGTTGAGATGCAGACTTTCTTCTCAGTTCAGCTGTGCAGAAAATTGCCTTCTGCTTTATTGCTGCACGGGAACCAAGAACATAAACTGCGTCCCCTGCACTGAATGAAGCAAAGGTATCATAGAGAAACATCTAACCTGCATTAAATGTGAAACTAATGCAGATTCACTGGATCAAATAACCAGGTAACCCTTTTCTAGGCTTCATTTTATAACCTTCAAATATTTCGCATTTGTAATTCTTTGCATTTTTTTTTTAAACCTCACCCCCTTCACAACAACTCTTTTTGCAAGATGCAGCAAGATTTCTGGCAGTGCTTGGCTAAACTGATAAAAACCAGACACGAAATTCCTTATTGTGCTTGATACATGATATAAATCTGACTTTTAAGTGTATCCCAAAGAGGAAGTTTATGACCAAGCTCGCAGTTTTAAGCACAAGGAAGACAAAATAATATTACTAAGGCTTATACAGGACAGTTAAACTTGCTTGTTTGGCAAAGATCATCAACAGAACAATGATCAGTTAAGATCCAGCATGAGCTACATTTAAAAACTCTGTACATTCATGTACCATAAGCACCCTGCCACAGTTTGCTACCAAAACACTATCACATAAAACAGAGGAAGGAAACCAGGTATCATAATTAGCAAACATTTATCTCTCTCGGATACACAGGAACAGGTACACACAATATGGATCACTTTATACTGTACATGTACACAGCTAAGAAACCAGGAGATAACCACCATACCGTATTTTGGTGGAGTATAATGCATGCTTTAAATAATATACAGATAAAGTCCATCATTCAGACTAGAATCTCACTCAGCTTGGAAATATGACTACTACTTAAAAACTCACGGGTTTTTCCTTAAAATAATTAATATAAATTTTAATTGGAAGTGGGTACAAACAATCATTGAGTTATACTTCAGTATAGCTACCATCAGCTCTAAAGGTTTTCAAGTCACATAAGAACAGCAACTCATTTTAATGTTCTTTTTCATCTTAACTTGGAAACATTTCGCTGTGGACAGGAAACGTGATATAAGTAACAAAGATTGAGAGAACAATTCACTGATCTTCCACCTCCTTTGTTGTACGAACACTTAATACAACTAATTCTTTAAACAAGTGTAGTTCTACTCCATTGCTCATATGAATGACCACAGTTAAATTTCAGACTTTGTGTTTTAAATGCTTTTAAGTAAGAAAAACATTTGAGGAAACATTTTCATTTAACTTGACAAAAAATAGTATTTCCAGTCATACTCTACACAGCATTACAAACAGTTCTTTCCATTACTTTTAACAGTGGTCATGTATTACATAGAATATCAGATTACAGTGAATACACCTTACTGGTATTTCTAAGGATTGATCTGAAGTTAAAACAGGAGTGGTTCTTCTGTGCCTATAACTGAAGACAGACAAAACATATCTGATTATAGGTCTCCCTCTCTCGCTTTTCAACCCCAGGAGCTTTGGATGAGCATTTACCACCAGCAGGACAATGACCAGCTATTGTCCAGCTCCCACAGCACTGATAAAGATGGTTGCACTGCTGGAATAAACAACCCAAATGCATTTCAGCACCGTAACTGGAAACTTAAAGGTGCTGAAATCTGTTTTATCCATCAGCTCCTACAGCTGAGTCACTGTCAGGATTGGTTCAAGACGGATACATCTCCTTAAAGCCAGGCAATTAGTCCAGGCAGACCTCAAAGTGCAGGATCTCCTGCTGTACCCTCACTCACTGTACTCTCAGTGACACATGCCACTATATTACACAGACTTTATATTCCGAGCTATGTGTGTGTGCATGGCGATACCGCCTTAGTTGTTTCCCACCTTGTCTCTTCAGCAGCCCTCAATGAGCATGCTTTTGCAAAATGCCCTCTTTTTATTTACAGACTGTCCCATCTCTACACAGTTCTATAGCACGTCAAGAAGTGCTGTGTTAAAAGTATGATGACATTGAGGAAAAAAATTATGTAGGACCAAATTCCAGTTTTCATTGGGAATCACAAATGAATTACTATTTCAACATAAAAATCTTCAATTAACAAAACAGAAAAGTTTCCTAAGAATATATATAATCATAGCTGTTCTAGGACAGCGAGTAATCGCATTTTTACATTACTACGACTATTCACTCAAGCGACTAAGGAAAACTTGCCTATTTTCAAAATTAGAGCCTGTAAGAGAACAGCATTAGTTATTAAAAACTTCCTCACGTTATGTATTTTGAGATTTGTTAAAATAATACTTTTTTCTTCCCCTGGGAAGTACAGTTTATGGACAGCATGTCATACTACAAGCACGCACATCCTACTCTCAGCAATTGGCTACAGCTTTTTTGGCTGCCCAGAGGCTGGGCAGATGCTTTTAAACAAGAAACAGTTTTGGTCATACTGACTTCTCCTTGCTTTCACCTTCAATACATACCCACTATGTCTCCAAATACAACTCAGACAATAAAAATATGATTTCAAATACTATTTCCTTAATGGAACAATATTTGATAATCTGGAGAGTTCTGTATTGGCGTAATTAGATCCATTAGACATGTGCCTGTGTACACAGAACAGGAAAACAGACTTAAATTCATTATCTCTTCTGAGAAATAAAGCCTGACAATCATGCAACACCAGCGAGAAAAAACAATTGGTAAATCCCACTGGGAAAAAAGAACACACTTCACTTCCAGAAATACAACATTACTTGTCAACCATTACAGAACAGCTCCAAAAGCTGGCCATGCCAGCATGTGTAGGCATTTCCTCCAGCTGACCCTCAAAATTGCAGGCTGCTGCCAGCCTGTAGCACAAAGAAATCACAAGCTCAAAGAAACAAACAATTCAGTGCTGTGTACCATACTAATGAGCCCACCTCTTGAGGTTTTGGGGAAGTGGGAGTGAGGCTATTCCTGTATCACAGCCCTTGTAATTTGGATGCTCTTAGAAACACAACGTTGAAAACTGTTTCTCAGAGCCTTGGAGCACATGCACAGGGAGGGGGGACCAGCTGCAGAGAGGAGGAACATGTCAAGGGACCCCGCTCAGCCAAAACACCTTGATCACACAA